CTGAAAAAATCTTTAAATGAAACTCACCTCGATTTTTGTGCAACAACGACGTATCTCAAAATAAGCCAACGTTAGACACAACCTCCTCGTACTACTGCGGACACAACAATGTATGCGTCGGTGTTGCATCCAAGAGGGGAAGCGAGGACCGTAGTGAAACAACGACACAAAAAAAAAATTATCTCTTAAATCCGCATAAATAGAGGTGTTTTTTTAATGTCACATTGTAGAGCTCCGTTTACAAGGTCAGTTTTTGACCGTAACTAAAAACTGACAAATTTTGAATTCGGTCACTGTTGCACTAAGAGTGCGATATACTGAATATTCTTTATTTATTATACATCTACTTGCTTTAGTAGGCCTTGAGACGCTATGTAACACATATCATAGTCTGGTGATCATAATAGGTGACCTACATCGTTTAAACACAGTACAATTGGGAATTACACAAAATTTTTATTTTAAGCTTTGCGAGCTTACTGTAATTGGTACTTTTGAGCGGTGAGTTACTGATTTTAGTGTTTTTTTGTAAAATTTTATTTTCACGATGATTTTTATACTATAAAAAGATATTAAAATATTAATATAAATAAGCGCCAACCGATGTGGAAAAAACTTCCTCAAGTGACAGCCTGGAATAGGTAAGGAGAGTATTGAGTATTGTATAGAGCACCGATCCCTTGGTGAATGCTATCTTTAGCATTGGACTAGTGTGGGTGATGAAAATGATGAGACCATTGAAAGTGCATAATATCTCAAACAATATAATTGACGTCATCTGCACATTTTTATAAATAAAATAACAAAAATGCAAAATAACCCTGTATATATATTAGTATAATTTCACAGTTTTTAGTTTTTTAGTTTATGAATCTATTCCTTTTAGCACTTTGTCATTCGAGTACATAATATAGTAATTATAGCAATATAATATCACTGATATCCCGCTGTCGCATAGATACTTTTCACACCTCACAAACGATCATATTATATTGAATTCAAGATGTGACGAAAGAGCAAACACATTTTATTACGAAGAGTATAACTTGATTTTAAGAAGTTACAGATACACAACTTTTACAATAAATTGTATTAGATGTTTTGTACACGACCGAAAATCAATTCACAAATAACTTATCTGGCCTAACTCTAACCATGCTCTTTTTAAAGATATGATTACAAATAACAATTAAAAGCTCACTTTAGTAGTGAGTTGAGTTATCAAAGCACAGAGAAATCGGGATCTTGATGCTGCTGCAATTGACTTGATTTGGTCATATTTCTATTGCAAAAAGTAGACGCAATTTAATCGCAAATAAGAAAAAATTAAATAAAAAGTTATTATACTCGTATGTAATATGTATAGTACTTACACACACAAATACTCATGCCTGTTACCCAGAGGGGTAGGCAGAGATTACGGACTTCCATTTGGCTCGATCCTGACACAACTCTCTCGCCTCCTTTACATCCATATATCTACGCATACACGCTTGTCGGTTAAGGGTACTCCTAATCTGACCCATTTTCAATATATCGCCGATTTGGATGAGTCGATCGCGTCCGTAGGCTTGGACCACCTAACCCTAGGCCCAAACTACACGTGTCCCCCGGGTGGTGCTAAACGAGCGACAAAGCCGAAAGGATAGACTCGGCTCCTCGCCGTATGGTAGCGGCGTAAAATCTACCACCCCTAAGTTTGCACCATGAGCCAACAATTAAAGTACTCATCTATTGCAAATTCATAAAATGGAAACAAATAAGGAGATGGGCAGCAGCGTCTTCAATTCAAGCCACTAAAAAATCAAAAAAACTGCGTTTGCCAACCCACATCTCCTAACTATGGCACATATCTCCGTTTAGAGGCAATCCTTTCCAGTCTACCTCACCATCAACACTTTTGACAAAGGAAGAAGAACAATTAATAGAATTGTCCTGTGACTCCAGTCTTAAGCTCCAATACGACAAAGACAAACTGCTTGAATTTTGGAGCTCGGTTTCTCACGAATATCGTGCCATCAGCTATGCAGCATTGAGTGTTCAATCACCATTTGTGACATCGTACTTGTGCAAAACAGGCTTTTCTGCAGTTGCAGTAATAAAGAACAAGTACGGATCGAAAATAAATGTATAGAGAAAGAGATGAGAGTGGTAATTTCCAAACTTGAGCCACATTTTGAAAAGCTATGCTCAGAAAAGCAAGGACATCCTTCTCATTAATAGCCAGCCAACAAAGTATCTCTTTTCATTTTTGTCCTTGTTTTTTTTATTATGTAATAAAAAATTTAAATGTTATTTGCAGTTTTTCTGGTATCTTGTTACTAGGCTAGAATTACAACTGGTAGGTATTTTTTGGCCAGAAGAGAGGCGTCGCAAAAAAGTTGCAAATTCCCAAGGGCGTTACAGTAAAAATAAGTTTGGAAAGTCCTGCACTATACTATAAAATACAAAGTGACTCTCTTATGGGTCGGTTTAATTTAATTAGCGCTACTTATGTTAGTCTTAAAAGTAAAATTACATACTTCATATTCTTAACAATACATTTAAGTACTTATTTATCTCTAATTCCTTACATTAAATTTTAAGTCCACTGTGAAACCTTTTTTTTACTAAAGATTAAAGTCTATAAATATGTAATATATAGTTAAAATTTGTAAATATACTAGGTACTCGAGTATGCTAAACAGATTATATGGTTTTAAATTTTATTTTGATAATGCACTGATGCTGATTGGGCGTTTGGACTAGCTGCTGTTTGAGCTAGCTGTGTCCTCCTTCCTTGCTCGATACTTGAAATAACTTGTTTGATCACTTAACCTTTTATTTTCTTTCCGGCTTTCTGAAAAAAATGTAAAGACATGTTACAAATATCACAATTATCAGAATCATCGTGACGACACTGTAGCATTCTAACTTTCTTTGTAATTCAGCTTGCGCTTGGTTATCAGCTCCAAATCTGAGCTATTATTACTTCTGCGTTCTTTGACTGATGCTTGCCCATGTTTATAAAATATAAGTGTCAATCGTTTGAAATTGTACATAAATTTATTGCTAATTATTCTACTTTATAAGTTACCTTTTAGCCAAATTTGCAGAGTTACATTTAACTAAATTTGCTTAAGACCTAGTTTACAAAAAAAAACGCACAGATGGCGTTACTGCTCTTGCCACTGCGTGTGGTACAAGGAACAAACTTATAATCTACTATAGTTTTTGTGTTCGCATTCTGACATTCATAATTATTTGTACTCAAATCATTAGATTCTAAGTCGATTATATATGCAGGTTTCAATCTTTCAATAGAAATATTGAATTGCCTACTAGGGAGTTGTACCTTAAATACCTTATTATTTCTACTTAGCACGCTGTAGGTAGGGACCATCGTAAGTAGGTGTTAAAGGTTTTTTTTACCGTATCATTTCTTATGAAAACATGACTGCAATTACTTAAATCCTTATAGACAAATAATTTCCGCGAATCGCTTGCGCTTCGTAACTTTGGACGAAGATTACTTATAACTTCTCGTAATCGTTCGACATACGTGTAATCGTCCCCGTTGTACTATGGACTCGCTTCGCGGTAAAAACTGCCTGGTAAGCCTAATGATTGTCCATAGACTAACTTGGCTACACTAATGGCTGTGTCACACCGACTGGCGGCTCGTAATCCGAATAAAACTGTGGATAATTCGTCATTCCATGATTCGTTTTTTACTAACCTGCTTGTTAAAGCGACTTTTAAAAAACCGTGCCATCTCTCTATCATCCCATTACTCTGAGGATGGTACGGTGTGGTTCGAATCCTTTGAACTCCTAGTAACTTTAATAGGTTTGAAAAAAGAGTGCTTTCTAACTGCCTACTTTGATCGCTGGTTAACCTGCTATTACATCAGAATCTAGATACCCAGTTTTCATAAATAACTTTAGCTACGGTCTTGGCGGTGATATTTTCAACGGGTATTGCTTCCGACCAGTGTATACAACGGTCTGTAATTGTGACGCAATACTTATTACCATGGCGCGTTGTAGGCAACGAGCCTACAATGTTCACGTGAATGTGATCGAAACGTTCACTGGGCTCAAATGAACCTATTCCTGTAAAAATATGACGTATTAATTTGCTTTTTTGGCATTTTATGCATGTTTTTGCCCATAATCCTACTTCTTTGTTCATGTTTGGCCAAAAGAACCTCTTAGTAACCATTAACCGAGTTGTCCTAATACCTGGATGGCTAACGTTATGTATAGATTCGAAAACAGCTTCCCTGAATGACGGTGGTACATAAGGTCTTATATTACCGCCCGCGACGTCACAGTATATACTTTTATTAACGTTGGGAATAAAAATTTGCTGTTAACTGTACCTTGTTCGACGCGCCGGCGTTCTGCAGGATCTGCGAAATTTGTACGTCGGCTTCCTGCGCTGTCGCTAATTCCTCGTAATCTATGACCGCTGGACAAACAATAGTTTCAATACGCGATAGCGCATCTGCGACCGGATTATTGCTACCGTTGATATGTTGTATACTGCTGTATACTCCCTAATGTACAACTGTCTAATTCGTCTAGAAGTCTCTTTACTGGAATTTACCTTTGTAAGTGCGTATGTCAAAGGCTAGAGGTCTATATACACGGTCATATCCCGTCTTCCTATCATGTTTTTGAAATGTGTAATGGACATGTACACAGCCAACAAATTTCTGTCATACGTACTGTATTTTTGTTGAGCATCTTATAGTTTTTTTGAAAAATACCCGAGCGGCTTCCAAATACCGTTGTCCTTCTGTTGTTTTCTTTGGCCATGTACGCTGGTTTTAGTCTGTCAACAGAGACGTTATTTTCCTTTTCCCTTATGTCTATAGTGTAGTACTTGGCTTGTCTGTCTAGTACTTTGAAAGGATCTCGGCGAAGTACGTGATCTCGGCGAAGAAAAACATGAGAGAACGTGTGGAAGTCCCGTGGTATGTAGAATGGCGTTGTTGTGCTGGTGTGCCATGATGTCTATTTGGGAGTGAGTTCAGCCATGCAGGATCGTAGACGTGTTAAGTACTCTTTGACGTTTGCCGTGGTGTAGTCGTCTATTGGAGATAGGTATTGGCCTGGTAAGCTGAGAGTTTGACTATATACCAATTCAGCAGGAGTAGTTTGGAGATCCTCTTTCCATGAGTTGCGCATGCCCAAGAGAACCAGTGGAAGGGCTTCCGTCCACTGTGATGATGTGTGGCACATGATCGCCGCCTTGAGTTGGCGATGAAGTCGTTCGATGATACCATTCGCAGCTGGGTGATAGGCGGTTGTGCGTAAGTGACGCGCACCAACCAACTTTGTGAGAGCTTTGTAGAGATGGCTCCCGAATTGGCGACCACGGTCTGTAGTCACCAGTGTAGGACAGCCGAATCGGGCTATCCAGCCGGACACCAGAGTAACTGCGCAGGTCTCCGACGTGACGTCCACCATGGGGTATGCCTCAGGCAATCGCGTGAAACGATCGATGACGGTAAGGCAATATCTGTAACCAGAAGACAGAATTAAGGGCCCTACGATGTCGAGGTGGATATGGGAAAACCTCGACGAGGGAGTGAGGAAAGATGAAAGCGGGGATATGGTATGACGGGTGATTTTGCTCTTTTGGCATGACAAGCATTGTCAAGACCACTATCTACAATCTTTACGTATCCCTGGCCATACGGATCTTTGTGAGAACAATCGCACAGTAGCTGAATTTCCAGGATGGTGGAAGCTATGTATTGTATCAAAAACTTGTTTCCTGAACTGGGGAGTAACATAAAGACGTGGCGGTTGCACAGAAGTGTCGCTGTAGAGAGGTAAGTTACCATTTAACTGTTGATCCTTTTAAATTGCAGGGTAGAGCCATGAATGATGATTACAGTAGAGACATGATTTTGCAGTTCTGGTACTCTGTCCTGAGCTCGTGCAAGATCGTCGTAGTCTACAGCTGTAGTGATCTCCTCGACTCTAGAAAGTGCGTCAGCAACTAAGTTTTCCTTACCAGGTAAGTATTTCAGGTCTGTCGTAAGCTGAGCAATGTAGTCAAGGTGTCTGAACTGTCTTGGGGTGCATTTGTCTTTGCTCTTTGAGAAGGCGAAGATAAGAGGCTTTTGGTCGGTGTATATTGTAAATATTCTGGCCTCGACCATATGGCGGAAGTACTTGACGGCTTCGTAGATAGCCAGTAGCTCTCGGTCGTAGGGGCTGTACTTCCGCTGTGCGTTGCTGAGGTTATGAGAGTAAAAGCAAGTGGTTGCCAATCCCTACCTTTTCGTTGTTGAAGCACGGCGCCTATGGCAGTTTCCGACGCATCTGTTACTATTGCTAGTTCTGCAGCTGGGTCTGGATGAGCGAGAAGAGTTGCTTGAGATAGTGATTCCTTACAGTCTTCGAAGGCTCGAAGTAATTGCGGAGTCATGACTATCGGATGAGATCCTTTGATTTTTGAGCCACTGAAAACGTCATTCAGCGGTGCTTGAAGTTGGGCTGCGTTGGGAACAAAGCGACGGTAGAAAGGTTTAGCATGCCTAAGAAACGTCTTAGTTCTTTGACCGTTTTTAGAACGGTGTATTGCCTGATAGTTTCGACTTTGGACTCTAGTGGTTTCGTACCTGCAGCTGAGACGTGGTATCCCAGGAACGTGACTTCTGGTTGGCCAAGTATACACTTGGCAGTGTTTACCACGACGCTGTACTGCTTTAGGCGTTCAAAGAGTTGCCACAGATGGTTCTTGTGCTCTTCGATGGATGACGAAAATACCAAGATGTCATCTATATATCCGTAGCAGAAGACGAGTCTTAGCAACACCTCGTCAATGAACCTTTGGAAGGTCTGTGCTGCGTTTCTTAAACCATAATTCATGAACGGAAATTCGTACAATCCAAATGGAGTCGTGATCGCCGTTTTCATAATGTCATCTGGATTGACAGCAATCTGATAGTACGCTTTGACTAAGTCGATGTTAGAAAAGACAGAACAGCCTGTGAGTTGATACGAGAAGTCGTGGATATGACGGATGGGATATAGATCAGGTATAGTTCTATAGTTCAGTGCTCTGTAGTCTACACATGGCCTCCAACTATTGTCTTTTTTCTTTACCATGAGAAGAGGAGAAGACCAAGTGCTTTCCGATGGTCTGGCTGTGCCGCTGGCGAGCATTTCTGAGAACTCCTGATTCGCAGCTTGCATGCGAAGTGGATTCGGGCGTCGAGGCTTACTGGCTACTGGAGGTCCTGGAGTTGTCCTGATATGGTGCAGAGTACTATGTTTGTATGGTAAGTGCATACCTTGAGGGCGGGTTATCTCTGGAAATTCACGCAGTATCTGGTGAAATTCGGTTTCTCCGGTGACTGACTTCACCGAAGCGATGTCTTCCGTTGATGTGCGAGCTACGGCGTTGACCGAGAGAGTAGTGACATTGTCACTAATCGTTGATTTCTACAGTCGACGAGTAAATTATAGTGGCTGAGGAAGTCAACTCCGATGATCGGTCGTGTCACATCGGCTACTGTGAAGTTTCATGTGAAGTTCCGTCTCAATCCTAAATTGAGGTGTAGCAGTATTCGTCCGTAGGTGTATATGACTGTGTTATTAGCAGCTATGAGGTCATACCTGGATTTTGAATAGGGCGTCTTGACTGCTGACCGGGGATAACACACAGGTCTGAACCAGTGTCCATGAGAAACTGCATTTTTGATGTCCGGGTCTGAGATGAATAAACGGCCTGTTGAAGAAGGGTAGTCGTTGGTTGCTACTTGCGACCACCCTGTAAGTTTTCCGCCTTAAATGTGCAAGGCTGTTTACACACTTGTTCGCCTTGCGCCCGTAGGTGTAATGATAAAAGCAGTGCGGGTGATCCGGTGGAGGCATTTTGGGGTTGAAATTTCCTCGAGTTGAATCGTGATCTTGAATGTGAACGGGAACGTCGTTGCCTGTTTAGTTGAGTAATGAGAAGTGCTACTTGCCTCGTTAGTTCACTTATCTGCTTGGCCATGGTGTCGCGGTTTTCCGGCATGGTAGTAGAGGTGCTGGCAACTTGAGGGTTCATCGGCGCAATCTCGTACACCCTGTCTGCGAGTTCAGCTAGTTTCTTCAACGATAAGTTTGTTATCTGAGAAGCAATCAAAGTTTGAATATTAAGAGGTAGGCGTTTTTGTAAAGTCTGACGCTGCAGATGCTCCTGCTAGATTCTGCAGGTGGCGTAAGAACTGCGACGGTTTCCGATCGCCAAGCTCTTTGTGGCGGAGCAATTGCTGGAGACGATTCCCCTGCGATGCTGAAAGACGACGGATTAGTTTCCTTTTCAACTTTAGGTACTTATCGGTTCTAGGTGGGTTGGTAATTATGTTCTTAACTTTCCTAGCGTATGGAGGTTCTAGTTGCGCGGCACGTAGTAAAATTTAGTCTCGTCACTTGTGATTCTTGATAATAAGAACTGGCATTCGATTTGTGCGAACCATAAAGCAGGCTCATCGACCAGGAATCGGGGTACCCTAACGCCAACTCTCAAGACTTCTGTGGGAGTCGAATCTTTCTGCTCGGTAGCGTTGACTACACTCGGTTCGTCCATCATTGCACAATATCAAAAAATAATGATACGCTCACCTTGTTTGACTTGGACCAAACGCTATCCTTTGTTATCTCTCCGTAGCTTCGAAGCTGGAAACGTTGCGGTCGTGAGGTGCGTACATTCAATCCACCGTTGCTTCGGCTTGTCGGCAGGTCACCAATATGGGTTACCAGTATGGTGGTTCGGCGAGAGTTATATATGTTAACACCTTGCCACCAAACCCAATCGTAGTATTCAAGTACTCATCATCATCATCATCATTACAGCCCTTCACAAGTCCACTGCTGAATATAGGCCTCCCCCAAAGAATGCCACAAAGCACGGTCCTAAGCCACCTGCATCCATCGACTTCCTGCATGTCTTACCAGGTCGTCACACCATCTCGTGGGGGGACGCCCTACACTTCGCCTACCGGTACGAGGCTGCCACTTGAGAACCTTTCTTCCCCATCGGTTGTCGGTTCTTCGAGCTATATGGCCGGCCCACTGCCACTTCAGCTTACTAATCCGTTGGGCTATGTCGGTCACTCTGGTTCTACTGCAGATATCCTCATTCCTAAGTTTATCACGCAGAGAAACTCCGAGCATAGCCCTCTCCATAGCCCGCTGAGCGACCTTGAGCTTCCTCATACGGCCAGCAGTGAAGGACCACGTCTCAGTTCCGTAAGTCATCACTGGCAACACGCACTGGTTGTACAATTTCGTTTTATGGTATGTCTGACGAGAAGATGTGTCGTAGCTTCCCGAACGTTGACCAGCCGAGTTGAATCCGTCGATTGACCTCTCGGTCGAAGTTGGACTTACCTAGTCGGACTATTTGTCCCAGGTAAACATACTCGTCAACAACTTTGAACTTAGTGCTTCCAACAACTACCGGCATAGGTGTGACATGAACATTAAACATGATCTTTGTTTTGTCCATTGTAGGTCAAAATGGCGTAAGGCGTCGTAGGTTCAGTGAAGAAAACAGTTTATATTAACGTTCACAGTCTTTTAATAGTCCACGACACAAAGCACACTACAATAAAGAGTCAGAAGGGAAGCGAGCACAATCATAGTTACAAAGAATAGCACAAGCAAGAAAGTAAGAGATAGCATTAACAAATAAACTGTACGTGGTTAGCCGCGGGCGCAAAGGTGTTACAAGGGTCTAGTCGCAGAGGCGATCAGCAGGTAACTAACTTGATACAAGTATAACAGGATATGCGCGAGCGCCGCGATTCAATCCCCGGCCGCTCTGTCTAGAAAAAGGTCGATCCACAATGGTCCCAATGTGTTAAATGCTTGTTCTATAATGGTTACATAATATATAATTAATTACGTTTATTGTAGGTGTTGTATGTGTTTATGTGTAAGTGTTATTGTGTTTCTGTGTGTATATATGAGGTGTGTGTAATAATGTGGTGGAATCCCCACATCACTCCCCCCCAGAGGCCGTGCCTACGGTCGATAAAAATCAGGAAATCTGACATGCCTACCGGCCCTTGTAGTTTTCCGGTTTTCTAAACTGCCGTCCATGACTTTGGGGCTGCAATCAGGAGAGACGTCGTAAGGCGGATCGGTGTTCAGCATATAGGCCGGTTTCAGACGGTCTATAGAAACTGTTATCTGCTTACCTTTAACGATGATCTTAAATAGTTTATCACCTCTTTCGGTCACTTCATGTGGACCGGAATATGCAGGATGGAAGGTGCTTTTCAGCCGGTCTTCCCTAAGGAATACGTGGCTGGAATTAGCGAGATCCTTATATATAAATATTTTATTTTTATTATGCCGTGATGCGGGACGAGGCTGCAGTTTCTCACAAACTGAACGAATTCGTGCAGTAAAATCCGTAATGTCAGTTGTGGTGCTTACTGTGCTTTCGAAAAATTCGCCTG